GGCTGAGGTGTTTAATGTGCATTTTAACTGATGGAACTTCATTCCTGAAATCCAGATGGTGGCCGATGCCGCTTAGATGGCAGATTGGAAACCTCTATCTCTTTCATTTTAGAAAACTAGCATTTTCACTAAAAATATCATTCCACAAAGGCAGGGTGATGCTGAATTTTCCTCTAAAGCAAATATTAAGAAAATCACAAAGTGACCAGGATTCAGAGAGAGAGGGTGACGAGGTAACAGGAATACAGAAGACACAGGCTCCATTGCGAAAATGTGAGCTAAGAAAATCCATTCTATACAAAAGAAGTAGCTACTGAAGAAGCAAAGGTGGACAGGGATGTCAACTGAGGAGGACGTTCATTACCTGGCCCAGAGAAGAGAGCAGAGGTGAATTCCGAGCTACGACAATGTCTTTCAAATTGGATTTCAAGGACATGCTCTTGCAGGGAGATGGGGATCTTTGGGTTTAATAAGGACGTTTAAGTTTTGTGCTTTCATTTTACTAATTATAAAGATAAAATTGGTAATTTTTGAGTGCGAATTCTCAATTGAAAATCACGTTCAAAGAATGAGATTTTAGCTTTCTTAAGTAAACGTTTCTCAAATGCTGGTTAAGAAAATTCATCATAGGTCTTAGACGATTATTTCTCTTTAAAAGTGTCCATAGTTTATTCAGATTTGGGGATTAGCAACCTAGAGGCAGAGCACACACACACCATTTGGTTTTTATCTTGTGGAAGGAGTTACAGCAGTTTCCTAATTTTTTATAGATTTTTTTTTAAAGAGTCTTTTTTTTTTTTTGAGGAAGATTGGCCCTCACCTAACATCTGTTCCCAATCCTCCTCCTTTTTTCCTTTTTTCTCCCCAAAGCCCCAGTAGATAGTTGTATGTCGTAGTTGTACATCCTTCTAGTTGCTGTACGTGGGACGCTGCCTCACCATGGCTTGATGAGCAGTGAATATGTCCGCGCCCAGGATCCAAACTGGTGAACCCTGGGCCGCTGAAGTGGTGTGGGCAAACTTAACCACTATGCCACCGGGCCAGCCCAGCAGTTTCCTAATTTTGCCCTTATCTTGATGAAACCTTTCTAGACTCAGAGGACAGGCAAGGTGCATTACTCATGTTATGTTCCCTAATGGATGTCATGGCTTAGAAAACTTCGCTCTTCTGTTGGAAATGGGAAGCAGCATGGTGTGGTAGTCCTGGATCATGAGTCAGGAGGTCCACACTAACTGTCTCCAACAGGCTGTGTCACTTGTCCTCTCGGAGCCTTCGTTTCCTTATCTGTAAAACAAAGCAGTGGACTGAATAATTAATTACCAAAGTCACATCTAGCCTAGATTTCTTTGATTTTAACAATAAATTACAGCGCCATCTTGTACATCTTCTCTGAAAGGCCGTTCAACTAAAAATCATTTTCACTAGGACTCTATTTCATTTCTGTTCTTTTCATTGCTGCCTTCCACCGCTGAGCACCGACGACCCAGGGGGTGATGCATTGAAGAAAAAATCAGTGAACACTCAGCGTTCCGCCTATTAACTGCTACCACCCAGGAAGTGGGAAATTAAACTATAGAACCCAAACTCCCAGGGCTTAGTGCAAATCATCCAGATATGAAAGAAATACTTACTCAGAGGGACATTTTGGGTGGTTTTCATAAAGTTCCAAATAAACGAGACAGTTGTTCACTCAAGTGTGAGTAAATCTAATGGAAATGTAAAAGCCATGTCTGTTTTTATGTTTTGAGTATTATAGATAAAATTGTTTAATGAGTGGAATCTCAGCCTGTTAGTTGATCAACCACCATAAGAGTGTCTAACATATTTAGTGAGCCCTCTGAACAGCCGAAAGTGTCCAGTATAAGCAGTGATGGTACAAGGCTTGTCCTGTCTGTAGCAAAGAGAAAAGCATGCAGCACACACTTGTGCATGGAACCACCAAGCCACAGCTGCCTTTTGGTAGGGGTGATGCTATTTCTTTTCTCTAAAGAATCCTCTCCCACTCTGTGGAAAGATACTCATAAAGTATGTCCCATTGCCTCAACCTGGATTGGAATATGATACCCATGGTCTATGGGATAATTCTCAGGGGTCAGAGGGATCCAGAAGAGCTTTGCCTTGAGACCTGACTATGTAGCTAAGACAGAGCATAGAACATCCAAATACTCTAAAGATTACTCAGGCATCAGCCTCTTATCTAGTGATGGAAGCAATTCTTTTGGCCTTTTTCCTGCATGAGCTACCCACTGAAAATTAGCCTGACAACTTATGCCTGGAAATATCTGCACTGCCTTGGGAGAGGATTGGGCCCTGGGACCCAGAGCAGAACTTAGAAGCCACTGCCGTTGAACACTTTACTACAACTCACACTGTACAGGATGATGATGCCACGGCTGTCCTCGCTGCATCAAGGGCTCCAGCCCTCCAGATGTGGTCCTGTGGCCTGATGGGCTCATTGACCCTCCATGCAACACAGCATTGCTTGTCCCATCAACAAGAAACCCCCAACTGCCTCTATCTCTTCTGTTAAAATAATGATCTTCTGGACAGTGTAGAATGAAAGCCCTCCAAAGCAAGAGAATGGCTTATTTGAAATGATTCCCTTTGAACTCATCTTATATTTCCCATCCTAGTTATAATTTGGCTAATTGCTTAATAATTCTGTTTGAATGTCTCTGTTTCTGCAAACATTGCTTCATGAGATGTATGTTTTCTGGTTGGGAATCCCTTTGCTTCCCTAAGTGTCCTCTGCCGCTTTCTCCCATTTGCACTTTTGCCTGAGCAACATTTTGATGACATAAATAGCAGCCCTTCAAAAAGATGTTGAGCAGATCAAAGTGACTCTGCGTTCCAGAGCCCAAGCACTGTACTCTATGTCCGTGAAACAGTACCTGTGATTGGGAAAGATCTAATACTATATCTTTGAAGAGCCAGCTTCCCTGCCAGACTAGCAAAGCTGTGACCACTGGCAGCCCTAACCCTCTCCTGCTGTGGGGGGCATGCTGTACTCGACATAGTGAGAGGCTGCCCAAGAAAGAAAAACCCAGGCCAGCCTTTAGGAGCTGGCAGGAGCTGCAGCCTAACTGGCAGCTGGAGAATTCAACTGTGGGGTACATTTGCACACAAGAATATTATCCAGGTTAAAAGTGCTCAGGGGCCGGCCCCGTGGCTTGGTGGTTAAGTGAGCGCGCTCCACTGCTGGCGACCCGGGTTCGGATCCCGGGTTCGCACCGACGCGCTGCTTCTCCGGCCATGCTGAGGCCGCGTCCCACATACAGCAACTAGAAGGATGTGCAGCTATGACACACAACTATCTACTGGGGCTTTGGGGGGAAAAAATAAATAAATAAAATCTTTAAAAGTGCTCAAAGCAGAGGCCTTCTGAGAGCACGAAGATACACACATACAAACATATACTGTATTTGGTGGGAGAATGCACCCAGCTGGATGCTGAACACCACTGTGGTGTCTGTGCTTCAGGAGGTGAGCCTACGCCGTGCTGAGGCAGCCTACGACTTAACGCTTTTGGGCAAAGGTCCGTTAGGCTAGGCTAATAAACAGACACTCATGTGCTCCTTGTCATTCTTTCCTCCTGTACTCTACCAGCTGCAGACTTCCAATTTGCTATTAATTTTTCATTTGACATGCTGCTTTTAGCACCCAACTTTCCAACTTTAATAAGCAAATCACTTCATCCAAATGCTCACATCCCAAAGAGGGCCAACACAATCCTCCATGCCTTTGAGAAAGTGACAAAGGGCAGAGGAAACTTAGGATGACAGAGCAGAGGCGTAGAGCTTCCACCCTGGAAACTTTCTTGGGCCCGTGTTGACTAAGAAGTGACACAGGCAGGTAACAACTGAAAGAGAGAAGTAAGAAGAGGGCCCAAGTCCTGTTCTTTCCTGCTTGACCACAAACTCCTGCCCAGTGAGGTCAAAGCTGATGCAATGGTTCTGGGGAAGAATGGAGGAGAGAAGTCGGTCCTCCTGCATGACTGAGTAAACCAGCTGGTACTCACGACCTACCCTCATCCTTGCACCGGCGCCTTTAGGCAATTCTCTGTGTGAGGCACTGGATGGAAGCAGGTTAGAAAATGTAAGATACTGTCAGTCCAAAGGGTATTACCTGGTGATGTGTGCATAGCCTTGAATTGTCCGGCATGGACCAGGCCTCAGGGTTTTAATTGATCTGTGTGTGTGCAATTGATTTTTATTTATCTTTCTTTAAAAGCTACTCTGAATTGCTTTGGAATTTGAAATGATGCCCTCAAAGAATTATAACAACACATGAAACTATTGCTCTACCTGTGCAGTTCTAACTTTGTCTTTTTCTCCTGAATATTTTCTATTATTTTTCTTATTGAGCATCTAAAATTCTTTTCAAGTTCTTGGCTTTCTGTAAACCTTTTTTGTGTGTGTGTGAGGAAGATCAGCCCTGAGCTAACATCTGTGTTAATCCTCCTCTTTTTGCTGAGGAAGACCGGCTCTGAGCTAACATCTATTGCCAATCCTCCTCCTTTTTTCCCCCAAAGCCCCAGTAGATAGTTGTATGTCATAGTTGCACATCCTTCTAGTTGCTGTATGTGGGACGCGGCCTCAGCATGGCTGGAGAAGCAGTGTGTCGGTGCGCACCCGGGATCCGAACCCAGGCCGCCAGTAGCAGAGCGCGCGCACTTAACCACTAAGCCACCGGGCCGGCCCCCTTTCTGTAAACTTTTGATCGTCTAGTTTGGATGGTATTGCCTGAGGAAGCCAAAGATAAAAATAACAACATTAATGATATCTAATACTTAGATAATGCTTAGTATTGAATAGGACTGTTCCAGGTATTTCACGTGTATTAACTCATTCCATCCTCACCACAGTCTTATGAGGTAAGTGCTACTGTTAGATCTATTTTACAGATGAGGAAACTGAGGCACAAAAAGATAAGACACTTAAAGTGTGAGCTCTTAATTCATTTACCTTTAACCATTCTGTTTTTCCCTCTCAAACTCTCAGATGATGGAAATGCTTAAAGCAGACTAAGGTAGTGTGAGACCACATCGTGTAAGTGTGAGCATGGCTCCTGTGGGTCCAGCTGTGTTTTGTGTGCTTCTGCCTACCGTTCCCGCATGTTTTCTCCACTGTTCTCTGACTCCCGCTTTCGCCGCTTGGCGCTTGGGCCGCATGAACTGTCACTTTTAAGCCATAGATCCGATGTCTTTGTTCCTGGTTTTGTATTTGTACTTCTCTCTCCCACAATCCCTGGCACATGGGGAAGAGCCAGAGCACTTGCCGCTGTCAGCCTGGCTCCTCCCGGGAAGGAGCTGGGGACTCCTGGGGAATGCATTTGGTTATTGTTCTCTGACAATGAGCCCTCAGACTGTCAGCTTTTAGAATTCTAGGCATGTGTCCACATTCTTACTACAACATACTACTCCACAGTGTGGAAACACGTGTATGGGCTTCTCCATGCAGGCCGTGGTCACCCATGTCACGCCTTTGCTATGTGGTGTTCTTCCAGCGCCACCAGCCTAAACAGATTATTGCGCTGTGAGTCTTTGTAGGAGTGGATGCTATGTGAAAATAAATACCATTGTGCCATGTAACACGGCTAAAATGAGCCATGGAGAGAAGTGGTCATCTTCTCATTTGTTTATTATTTTCGCTGTACACATGTATATGATGGACACACAGAGGTGTATTGGAAAAACCCGTGATAACGAAGGAGAAAGGATAATGGTTTCTAAGCCAAATATGGGCTATACTGGCCCTTCATTGTACACACACACACACACACACACACACACACACAAACAAAATCTCTTTTGGTGTTCCTTGAATCTACATAAGTTATATTTCCACTTTGAGTGAATTCATATGTGATAAACTAGATTTACAGAATAAATAAACTGGGGAGGAGAAATTTGCGCCTGACAAGGAATAGACCAGGAACATTTAACGTATGATCCTGTCTTACAGGACAGCCTTCCCCACCTGACCATGATTTTGGGGGTGGAACCGCGATCTCACTGAAGTTTCCAGTGTGTGTTGAATAGGAATTAGGAGGGAACTTTCTGAGTTAGTTGTCAGAGATGACAAGAATTCAAAATTGAAGGGGCTCTCATGAGATGTGATTGAGCACTACTCAGTCCTTTGCAGTGCTGAGACCCCAACTCATCATTTAGACGTGCACAGGATTCTGGGGCTGAAGGGTCCTTACAAATAGATCCTTCACTCCTAGCCCCTGAATTCCTGGAGGATGACTGAGGCCTCGAGAGGGAAAGTAATTTGTCCAAGATGGGGCAGAGACTGGATTAAAACTCAGTTCTCCTCTTTCCATCAAAGCATCTCTCCCAGAGAGAAATGGGAGAGAACCCCACGCACAGCTGGGAGAGCTTTGGAAAAGCGAAGGAACCTACATCCTAAGAAAGGATGCTGGCTCCCAGTCCCGGTTCTGCCACTAAATAGCTGGGTGAGCTTGGGAAAGTTACCGTGCCTCTCTGGACCATGGGGTCCTCATCTGTAAAATTAGTTTGAGAACAGCTGGTTTCAAAAAGTAAATGATGCTAAGTTTGCTCACTAACCTTGGGCTGTTTTCATGCAGTTTCCTCCCAGCAGTATTCGTTTCCCACTACAGGATTATGGAAAAAGTTAGAGTCGGGCTGTGCAAATGGGGCCGGCCTAGGGGAGCAAGAGCCCTGTGAGTCTCTGTTATTAACTGAAGAAGGACAAGGGCAGGCGGGAGAAGGTGCAGAAGAGAAGCCAGTAGCCTGCCCGCCTTACCTGGACCTATGACACTGAGGTGGATGTGGCGAACTCCGGGTTAGGTCATCTCAGATACACCGATTTCTGCAGTTTGGGGTTATCTAGCTGGTATCTACCTCTCTCCTTTCCAAGATGCCACTCATTAGAGCTCTGGAACTTAAGGAAACTCAGTAGGTGAACAGATTATGTTTTCTCCTTTCAGTGTATTGTTTACTGAGTTAACAGGGCCAGGGAAGTCTCTGAGGCCATCCGAGAATAATTTGAAAGCCACAAGGCAAGAGTAGCGACCCACACGTGCCAACTTCCAGCAAAGTGTTGAGATACACCCCTTGTTTACATAAAGCTATAGAAATACAGATATTAACCAAATATGCAATGTCATTTTAACAGAGCTTTCTTTTTCTATGGTAAATCCATGGCATTTTTATGATAAATCTTTTTTATAAAGCAAAAAATCACCCCTTGATTTAACAGTTTAGCCCATTTTGGTTTCCATATATCTAGTTTGGCCTAACATGCAACTTTTTCCAAAATAGCCCATCTGGTATGCAGCAGTCTTCCCTGGACCTGACGCTGATTCAAAGTTGGGTGGGAAGACCAGGACAGGATATGGCAGGGTGGAGAGAATCACAGAGGTGGGTGATTTCCCGTGCACATCTCAGGTTCTAATGCTGCTGGACAAACCATAGCCCCACAAAGAGCTGTGATCTCAGAAAGTCTCACTGAGAACTTCAGCATCAGAATATTGATGGAGGGGGGACTTTGAAGGCAGCAAATCTGGCTGGAAGGGTGGTGCTAGAGGACTCTCAGAGCTGCATTTGCCTGGCACTTCACATAAGATTGAAAAATGCCAATCGACCATGTCATTTGAGGGAGCACCTGTTGGAAATTATGGTGGGGGCCTGCAGGTCCCTTCTTGGCAACCATCATCGTCCTGTTGTTACTGTTCCTTCTCCCATGACAACTGTACTGCTATTTGAGGACGAAAATGGCATCCTTGGGTAGCCCCGCAGACCAGTCATCACGTTGAGGATGCTGGACAGGCAGGCAGAGGTCATGAGCTCCTCACTTTAGTTTTCCCTTTGCGTTTGTGGAGGAGTTCCTAATAAGTCAACTAGTGTGGCGGAGGGGTGGGGAACACCACACAATGGGACTTTTCCGGCTTCTTCCAGGCCCTTCCCGTCCCCATCCTAGGATAATCATTGTCCTGCTGAGACCTCTCGTGGCCGTGTTGGTAACTGCAGGTGTCTGAGGAAGGAAGGAGCAGAGACCAAGACACCAGTAGGTCTTTGTAGACTGCCCCTAAACCACAGCCAAGCACATCCACGGTGGTCTGTGGAGGCCTCAGCCCGAAACACTTTCTAGATGGAAGAAAAGGCGCCTCTGTGTCCTGAGAACCCCGAAATATCAGCCTGGAGACCAGTGGCCTGTTGCCATGTGAACGTGCCCAGCTGCCTGTTAGCCACGGTGATGAGAACTCTGCCTACTTTTGTGTTTCCAGTTATTCCAGCTTAGGATCTGTTCTGGGATCTACTGGAAGTACTAGATTTGGCCAGTCCTTCATGGCTTGCCCTAGAACAGATCTATAACCCCATTTTTACCTGAAACCAAACCAAGCTTCTGAGAGTCTGAAGAGCCAGCCACCAGAAGCCTGGGTATATGCAAGACACACACACCATCTGCTCCCTGAGGGCCCTGCACAGACCAGCCTGGCTTGGGGGCTGGGTAGCCCTGCATTGCTTCCCCGGACATTCACCTCCTGGAGGGACAGAAGACAAGGCCTCCACCACCACTGCCTCCCATACTCTGATCCAGGGCTTCCTGGGAACAGTAAGTAGGTTACGCCTGACTAACACAATACTGAATCGTTTTAATTGTTCTAACCTAGTGGTTCTCAAAGTGTGGTCCTGGGACAAGCAGCATCGGCATCACCCAGGAACTTGCCAGAAATGCAGATTCTCAGGCCCCACCCCACACCTACTGAATCTCTGAGAGTGGGGCCCAGCCGTCTGTGTTTTATAAGCCCTCCAGGTGATTCTGAGGCTCAATCAGGTTTGAGAACCATTGCTCCAAACACCAATTCTCAAATGTCAGTACTATACAAAGGATTACAAACACTCACCTTATTTAAAATGTAGGTTCTGACCTCTCACTCACAGCGATTTAGTAGTTCTGCAGTGGGGATGCAGAAATCTGAATTTTAAACTATGATTCCATGTAATTCTGATGTGGGGGATCCAGACCACCATTTTGAGAAATTCTACTTTAGAAAGAGCAGGACAATCTTCGCTAGTACAGTTTAGTTTCCTCTCTTGAATTAGAGATGTGTGTTGTTCTCATATCTCGCCAGCCATGAAAGAGATCTCAGTAAAGTATATCAGAGGACTCCAGGTCTTTGAAGGGGGTCATATTATTGCTTGGCAAATTAGTTTTTGCTGCCACTGTGAGGAAAATCTCAGTAGAGTCTGCATCATAATCCAAAAGTGAAAGCTTCCTCTGGAAAGAGACATTAATTACTGAGAAAACAGCAAGAACAGGAAGCCTGTGGCTTCTTGTGAGGCTGGATCTCTGGGGTGGTGGCCAGGCTCAACCAAGAAGCTGCGTGTCACCTCTGGGCTGAGAGTCTGTCAGAGAGCAAGTTGCCCTTTCTTCTCCCTTCTTGAGCAGTTAGCGAGTTAGTGGTGCTTTCCCTAGCAGGACCCAAGAGGCTAGTTCATTATAATACTGCTAGGAAGAAAGGGTTTTCCGAACTTGAGGTTATGAGTACACTTGGCTCCTGCAGCCTCTGCACTGATCACCTGGAAAAGTAGAGCTCATGTTTGTGAAGATTCTTGTGAATGAAAAGACCCAGCTCTCCTCAGCCAACTCTGGGCCCCACTGGAAGCTCCAGAAGGGATTCGCCATTGTTCTTCTCCTGTCCCCTTTAACACCCCCATTTCACCCCCTCCAGGTCTCTCCAGAGCACCTACACCTTCACAGGGCGCTTCACAGGGATGTGCTCTGAGAAAACTAACATGCAGTCACATTTTCAAGAGTCGGACAGGAGCAGAGAAGAGACTTGGTGCTGACACTCCTTGTCACCACCTAGGACTCTCAATCAGTGTCTAGGCACCAGCACTGCACAGAGATTGCCTGCTTGCAGGCGGTAGCCTTATCCGGTCAAGCCTCTATCCTTTTCAAATCATGTGGGCAGAGCAGGCAAAAGCTGGCTCTCTCCCTTCCCTCCTTCCTTCCCTCTCTCCTTCCCTCCTTCCTTCCCTCCCTCCTTCCCTCTCTCCCTCCTTCCTTCCCTCCTTCCT